ACTATATATACTATATATACTATATATACTATATATACTATATATATATATGCGTGTGTGTGTGCGACCGCAATGTAACTCTCACGTACAGTGTGTCTGTAATTGGGCAGCTACCAGTGAATGAATAGCTGTTTGATGGCTTGTGGATAGTTTTAGAGTTGGTTTTAGCTGGTTTCGATTGGTTTCAGTTGGTTTGGGTTTAGTTAGGTTTAGTTGGCTCTTGTATGGTTTAGTTCGTGCTAGATGGCATGTTTAAGATGGGTGTAGCTTTCAGTATGTTTTAGTTGGGTTTAGCTGGTTTGAATTGATATATCTAGTCAGACCTTTACAACAAGCATGTATAGATTTGTACCCTCCAATGGAAGATTCAGGTAACGACGGACGGTCGATATTCCCAACACACACAACTAAACAACTAAACAAACAGAACGCAGATATATACACACTGCCGCCTCACATCACTGACTCAACAAAGACAATAAACTAAACAAACACAACAAACTAAAACAACCACAATAAACTAAACCAACACAATAAATTAAACCAACACAATAAACTAAAACAAACACAATAAATTAGACAAGCACAATAAACTAAACAAACACAATAAACTAAAACAAACACAATAAACTAAAACAAACACAATAAACGAAACCAACACAATTAACTAAAAAAAACACAATAAACTAAACGAACACAATACACTAAACAAACACAATACGAATTAATACGCTCCCCACCCCCACTCACACTCTCTCACCATTCCAAAAACCTCAGGACACACACCAGCCTTACTTGACGCCCTGGTACCCCGCACCCGAAACCCTATGTCCGGGGCTGCCCTGTCCCATCCCATGCTTGCAGACTCGGACGACGGAGAAGAAATTGAGCTTCTGAGAGCCACAAGTAATGGTTTCCTAAAGGCAGTGGAAGACGAAGACCACGTGCGCACCCCCTCACGTACACACTCACTACTGATCACAGCCACCTACGACAGCGAACACGACACCAGGGACGTAGACGACTACGGCGAGGGTGCACTGAGGTGGGTGGGGCACCTTTATCTGTGCTTGTGCGTGTGTATGGTAGTGCTGTTGGCGGGTGGCTGTAGGGTTTAGGGTTTTTTAGGGTTTAGGGTTTTTTAGGGTTTAGGGGTTTTTAGGGTTTAGGGTTTTAGGGTTTAGGGAAAATAGTGTGTATGTGATAAGTGTGTATGTGATATTGCCTTTGGCGGGTGGACACGTTCGGGTTGAACGTTTTGTATAGTTGAATGAATATAACGTTTTGTATAGTTGAATGTATTTTACGTTTGATGGGTAACTAAGTACAGGCTGTGTTCAGAATACGTATACGTATATGCTGGAGGGTCGTGCCTACCTGGAGTCTCGGGATCCACTGCTTTCTGCTGTCGCGCGCAGATGGTACACACACGCCGTGTGAGGCGTAAGATGATTGAAGCAGCGCTCTACTGCTCTCATTGACAAGGGGCTTTATACTGGTTGAGTGTATGTACTCACAAAGCATGTGCCACTTTTTGTACGGCCTACAGTGGTAGTGATAATTGCAGACCCGTCTCACCCACTCCTTATACCACATTCAGTAGTGATGTGGAGTCCTGCCCCAGAAAACAGGTGCAGGTGCAGACCAACTCCGCGAGAGGTCAGAGCGCCAAAGTACTGGTTCGGCCACGCGATAGCAAGTGTAGTAGTGTGGGCTTGGCTGGGTACGGCCACCCAAGCAAACCTCACCCGCAGGTGAGTGCTGGTATATTGATAGAATGGTGTGCTATCAATAGAAAGCGGGATATTAATAGAATGGGAGTGTTATTAATAGAACGGAGCACTAAATAGAACGGTGTTCTATTGATGGAATGGAGCACTGATAATAGAATGGAGTACTATTAACAGAGCGGAGTGCTGTGAATAGAACGAAGTTCGATTAACAGAAATAAGTTTTATTAATACAACGGAATGCTATTGATATGACGGTGTGCTAATAATAGAACGTAGTGCTTTGAACAGAAGGGTGTGCTATCAATAAAAGGGTGTGCTATCAATAGAATGGTGTATTATTGATATAATGGGGTGTTATTAATAGAACGATGTGCTATTATTAGAACGGCGCACATCTCTGCTTCGCAAAATCTCAACGATGGTATGCTTTGTCACACACCCATACCCTATCTCGTACCCACTCAACTCTCCCCAAACCCGCTAACGATTACATACTGACGACGAGCCATATCTCTGCACTTTACCTTTCACTTAGCAGACTCAGGCTGTCAAGGACGCAGTGATGGTGCGCTCATCCTCTCCGCTTGCACGCCCCACGCACGGTCAGACCCCCCAGATACACCCCCCCACCCACACCAGCATCAGCATACAGGCCACCCATACCATCGACACACCCACTACCAGTGGCAGTGGTAGGAGTGCATCGCCTACCAACACATCTGTCCAGACACACGTGACACTACCCGCCTCTGGTACACACACGGTAGCTTCGGCGTTCTACCTGGAAACCGATCCGGAATCAAGCGCCCACGACCATACCGGGACCAATGAGCCGCGCACCGCTCCCCACACGACAGTGGACAATAAACGAGGACAAGGAATAACGGTGGCGGAGGTAGGTAGACCGTTGCGTGGGAGTATTCGCAGCACGAGTGAGAGTGACTTGGCTGCCATGGCAGCCGCCCTGCCCACCGCCAGTGCGGTTAAGCGTCGACCCAAACCACAGCCAATGCGATGCAGCGCGCCAGTGCCTAGAAAACGCCAGGCCGACCCAAACACTTCTGCACCAAACATCCACACACACACACACGCACACGCACACGCACACGCACACGCACACTCACACACACACACACACTCGCGCGCGCAGAGGAGGGATGGCGGGGGGTGGGTTTCAGAGTCTAACACAGTCGCAGTTGCGGATGTTTAAGCAAGGCTTGGCCAGAGGGCAGGATGACAGCGACGTGTCAGATGACAGCACAGGCCACCACGACGCGGAATGGCTCAGAGACGAGGCGCTGAGGAAACCGCTGGTGCTGCGGGTAAGGGTTTAATGGGGGTTACGTGGTTATGTGATTTAGGGTTTAGGGTTTAAGGTTTTAACTCAGAGATGAGGCGCTGAGGAAGGGTTAAGGGTTTAGATAAAGGAAGGGTTTAATAGGAGTTGTGTGGTTGTGTGTGTTGTCAGGGTAAAACCATACAGTCAGTCGAGGTAGCGTGTTGTAGGTGAGTGAACACGTGGTTGTACCTATGCTCTGTGGCTATTCATTACACATGTGGCTGTTGTTGAGTTTGCTGCATTTCTGTTGTATCTGTACTCTGTTGCAAGTGATTTGACACGTGGTTGTTTGCATGACATGTGATTTGACAGGGGGGGGACTTTGTGGTGGAGCCGATTGTGGGCCACTGCGCCGAAGGCAGTCAGTATCAACTGGACATCCGCAACAACACCGGCTTCTACCAGAGCTATTTCTTTGGCAAAGGTATGTCTTACTACACCTGTATGCGCATAGGCGTTTAGGGTTTTTTTATAGGGTTTTAGGGATTGCTTAAAACCTTAAACTTCAAGCTGCTCTGCGCAAAGTTAATTGTAATGAACCGTACACCATTCGACCGTTCTATCTCTACATATGAGTGTGTGTGAGTGTGTATATACACATCTGTCTACATGTATGTGTGTGAGAGTGTGTATATACGCCATAGACAGGTGGCTGAGATGATAAGATCTCTATAGCGGGCTGCGTTTGATGGCTTCTTACGACCTTCGCTCAATCGGTTGCGATTTAAGGTCCACCTCACATCTGTAGTACAACGGTAGCAGCAGTAGCAGCGGGAGTACAGGAGAGAGACAAAAACACCTGTCTGTCCTCTTATGCGTACTTTTGTCCTTTTGTTGCACAGAGCATGTCAACTACTTTGCCATCGACCAGTACCTGGGTAAGCTGGTCATCTCCATCCGCAAGGAACGCGTGCGCAGCAACGACCCCAACATGAAGGATGCGCAGTACAGAGTGTGTTTCCGTTCGGAAATGAGTGAGGACGAGAATTTAGTCATACCCGACACCTGGGTCAAGGGGTGGAAGAAGAGCAAAGTAAGTAGTGGACCGGTCCGAATTTTAGGGCCGGTGCGTATGGGTGTGAGTTTGTGACGTATATACGGGGGTTGTTTGTTTGTTCGAGGGCAGTGTATGTACTGCATTATACTGTCCTAAACAAAACACGTTTACGTTAATGTCAAAGTAGGTTTGAGTTTGTTGATACGAATTACGTGTGTGTGGGCCTAGGAAGTGAGGAGGTCAATGTAAACGTTGAGATACGGGTGTGTCTCCCGTCCCTGAGGGGATGGTGTAGAACCATCATCTACGTAAGTTCAAAAGACTAGAACAACTGAGGGGGTAGGTTAAAGTTCAATTTTGGCGAGGTGTGACCAAATCAACCCCCCCCCCCCCCCATAGGAATAATAAGATATATTTAATCTGGTGCCTGGTATTTAGATCCCGAGTCGGAGACCAAGGGGATATATATCCTCAAATATGCTTAAAATCTGAACACATACTATATCGGCAACAAGGATAATAAGGTTAGATATACAGATATATACTCAGTCCCATTCCGCACTTGCCTCTACACTACTATGAGAATTCATACTCAACCCTAAACCACTTATACACGTTCCCTCTACCCTAATATGAGAAGTTATACCTACTTACTAAACGGCTTTTAAACCGTTCCAACTACCCTAATATGAGAAGTTATACCTACTTACTAAACGGCTTTTAAAACGTTCCATCTACCCTATTATGAGAAGTTATACCTACTTACTAAACGACTTATACACGTGTGTCTGTCTTCCACAACAGAGAGCAAGCATGGCCACAAGTAAGGTGGCTATACGCGATGTGATCAACTTTGCCTTACCCAGACTACAGCTACTGACCAAGCTCACGGCACCAGCGTCTGAAAAGGAGTCTCTGGGTGCCAATCTGTCCATGCTTTTGCTGGATAAGGATGAGGTTAGTAAGACTACCTGTTGTATTGGGTCTATAGTATTACAGTACGAGGAGGTTAGTAAGACTGTATGTTGTATTGAGTCCATGGTAGGGTTTAGAGTTTGTGCTGCGGCTCTTAAGGTTGTTTTCCCGATATTAAGAGGAGGTCGGTCAGTAAGACTTGCCCGTTGTATGGAGTCCATGGTATTAGAGTGCTGTATTGCCCAGGGTTGGTTTAGAAGACGAGGTCAGTATAAGAGGAGCCGTTGGTACAAGTACGTACGTTAATTCATATCACAAAGTCTCACAGTCACTGATACTACGCGTAGATAGCTGCACTATAGTGTACACGCGTGTGTGTGCAAACACCTTCAGTATTTAGAAAGTGCTCTCAGCTGGGTTTCCTTGCGGGTGGGGTGTATAATCACACACACGCTGCGAGGTTGAACCCTGTAATTCATATTGCTCTGCTCATTACACCACCAAGAGGGGTCTGTGAAAGGGTGGTGACGGTTTGCTTGTGCTTGTTTGTCTGTACCTAATAGTTTGGCTGACCCATGCTATATACCCCCCTTTCAACGGCTCATTAAATCCTAGTTGGCTGACCCATACTATCTACCCCCCTTTCAACAGCTCATTAAAGCCTAAGTTGGCTGACCCATGCTATCTATCCCCCTTTCAACAGCTCATTAAAGCCTAAGTTGGCTGACCCATGCTATCTATCCCCCTTTCAACAACTCATTAAAACCTACGTTGGCTGACCCATGCTATCTACCCCCCTTTCAACAGCTCATTAAAGCCTACAAATTCGGAGTGATGTATTGCAAGGAGGGCCAGACAACGGAGAATGCCATGTTTGCAAACGGTATGTGCTTGCTAGTCGCACGTTTACCAGTCGTATATATCGGTTCACGTGGTCGAGAGATAGTAGACACCTTGTGGTCTAGTCCAGTTATCAAGCAACACGGGATCAATCGGGGCACACAGAAGGACGGTGCATGTGGGTTCAAGTACGTTGTGATGGTTTTAGGGTATTAGGGGTTTTGGGTACCACAAGAAGATTGGGTGCAGGGTGTCCCTCGCTAGCGACCTGCACAAAGCGGTACTGGACTACATTGGACCCTTATGATCATATTTCGTCATAGATCGTGCACATACCCACGCCTGTCCATTCATAGCCGCTGAGTACAAACTCACCCATCCAAAACCCACTCAACCAACACCTACCTACCCAAAACCTACCCACACAAAACCTACCCACACAAAACCTACCCACCCAAAAACCAACCAACCCAACAACCATTCACCCAAAACCAACCAACCAAACACCCACTCACCCTAAACTTACCCACCCAACACCCACCTACCCAAAACCAAGCAACCCAACACCCACCCACCCAAAATTCACCCATTCAAAACCTACCCACCCATCTACAGAGCACGGCAGCGAGCACTACAACGACTTCTTGGAGTTGATTGGCTCTAAAGTGCGGTTGAACGGCTTCAAATCCTTCCGCGGGGGATTGGATGTCAAAGGTAGTGTGCGATGCGTGGTTGTGCCGTCTAGTTCAAAATAACACACTACAGCACCACACAGCACCAGATTGAATTAGATTCGTTCATAATAGCACACTACAGCACTACACAGCACCAGATTGAATTAGATTAGTTCACAATAGCACACTACTGCACTGCACAGCACCAAATTGAATTGAATTAGTTCATAATAGCACAATACAACACTACACAGCACCAGATTGAATTGAATTAGTTCATAGTAGCACACTACAGCACTACACAGCACCAGATTGAATTAGATTAGTTCATAATAGCACACTACAGCACTGCACAGTACCAGATTGATTTGAATTAGTTCACAATAGCACACTACAGCACTACACAGCACCAGATTGAATTGAATTAGTTCATAATAGCACACTACAGCACTACACAGCACCAGATTGCATCAAATTAGTTCATAATAGCACGCTGAAGTGTGTTCTTCCGGCATGTGAACGTGTGTGAGTGGTCTATAGACTATAGGTCTGTGGGTCAACGGCAGCGGTAACTGTGAGCTGGGCCCCTTCTCGTACACACGTTCCTACACCGTTGGAGATAGTGCGAAAGCATTAGGTGTCTGGTGAGTTTCCAACCATTCTTGATGCATAAATCAAACAATGCCCCTGGCTTTGCGCCACAGATTTGCACAGAGAGGGGGTTCAATCACTCACTGTGTGAGTCCTACTTGGTTGTCTACTATAGGGGATGCGACCGGGAAGTACTCCGGCTTAACATTAAACACCCATTGTGTGAGTCATGCCTAATCGACTCACTGTGTGGGTCCTGCTTAATTGTCTACTATAGGGGATACGACCGGAAAGTACTCCGTCTTCACCTTCTGGAACAATCTCGAAATCATGCTGCATGTCAGCACACTCCTGCCATTCCAGGCAGACAACGAGCAACAGGTATTTAACACGTGTGCACAAATAGCAAAACACGTGCTAGCGGCATGTCAACATCTATTCAGGAACGGCTAGTATTATTATATGGCAAGTGGCCCTTGCTTGGCTATAACATCTGCTCTGGCAGTATCCCACACCCTCCTGGCACACCCAATGGCTTATTTCCCTCGATATCACCTACCTAACTAACTATCTACACAGCTACCTACCTAACAACCTACCTACTTCCTTACTTTATCTACCTACCTACCAACCTATCTACTTACTTGCTTAACCTACCTACCTACCTAACTACCTACCTACTTCAGCTGTTTCGCAAAGCACACATTGGCAACGACATCGTGGTGCTGGTGTATGTGGAGGGCGATGCTGTCTTCGACCCTGCTGCACTGGTGGCGCAGTTTCCCCACGTCTTCATTGTGGTCAGATTAGAGCGCACTGAGCCGACCAGAAGATACCGGTATGTATTGGGAGTTTCATAGAATGTATTGGGAGTTCGGTAGACTATATTGGGTGTTTAATAGATTGTATTGGAGATTTGTATTGGTATGTATCGGAGAGATGTGGTGCACATGTGTGCCACTTGTTGGTAGGAGAGATATGAGACGGACCCACTTCTACGGTAGTAAACATATGGGGTTAGTCCACTTCTATGGTAGGTGTAGTACGGAGTATGCGAGAGACACTGATGTTACATCGCAACCCTTGTATCAGGGGTGTTGGTGCTTAACAACTTGTCGCGCTAAATGCGTTCTGTTCATTTGATAGAATACTTTTCTATACACACTCATTTTTGCCTTAAGGGTTTAGGGTTTAGGGTTTAGGAGTTTAGGAGTTTTTTTCAGATATCGATAAGCCTTCTGAAAGATAGTCGATGGCTTAACACATGAGAGTGTTCTAGGTATCTGTTCTCCTTCAAGTAGGTATGTGGCACTGACAACATATGTGCATATGGCGTGCGATTGGTCCACTCCCACGTTTGGTCTCCAGTGCGTTGAATCCAAAACGTTAACTCTCTCGTCTGTGCCGGGGGCACTCATCTAACCGCGGTTCACAGCGGGTGCTGACAAATTCAGGATTGTCAAGAAGTTTTCGGGGTTGGGTATTAGAGTTTTTTAGAGATATACCAGGATGTTCCGGCCGACCTCTATTGTTGTTTGCTACGTCATATTGTAAACGAAAGCGATATAAATACAAAACTATCTGCTGCATGCGGTGTACGACGTCGAACTCCTCTGCTGGAATCAAGGTCACATTTCTATCTACTATGTCACATTTCTATCTACTATGTCATATCTCTACCTACTATGTCACATTTCTACCTACTATGTCACATTTCTACCTACTATGTCACATTTCTATCTACTATGTCATATCTCTACCTACTATGTCACATTTCTACCTACTATGTCATATTTCTACATACTATAAAGCTGACATAACTGCTATCATCACTTCATACACTCACTTTGATAGTACTAGATCGCCTATCCTACCTTCTACTTTAGTCTTAGTTGAACCAGGCTCAGTCACGTACACGTATACAATCTGACAGCCTCCAGATCATGATTGATACAGATCCGTTCAGCGAGAACTGACGTCATTTGCATACCCTTAGGAAAAAAACCCTACATCCCTAAACCCTATAACCTTACCCTCATCAAATATACATGCAAATTCGTCGTGAGAAAATCTCCAGTGAACACATAACATAATGGCAACTGTACACCCGTAAACCCTAAAACCTCTAAACCCACTGAACTCGACACAGTCCCATTTATAGAGTGGAGGTGGCTGTCAGAAAACTTGTGCCTTAGTCTCAATGTATTTTGAACCCTAAACCCCAAAATCTTAAAACCTCTAAACCCACGGAACTCTACACAATTCCATTTATAGAGTGGAGGTGGCCGCCAGAAAAGGGGTGCCTGAATTTCTGCCCCAAGTCCCAATGTATTTTGAACACGACAGCAAACTGCGCGACTTCATCCTTTCGAAAAGTATGTTATGGTTGTGTGTCCAATACTCCCAGGCCCTTGCTGGGGGAGTTCTGTTGAGTATGTACACAAGCCCAGAAGTACAGTCCAGCTAAACCCTAAAGCTGTAGTGATGTGTTGGGTTTCTGCTGAGATCCACACATCTTCAGGCAGACGGTCCTATTTTAAACCCCAAGCCAATGGTGTTCTGGCTATGATCCATAGGAGGCTATTCGTGGAGGAAGTTCCCTCAACACATACGTAAACGTACTGCTACAAGACATGGTCTTCTAAACTAAAGCTGGATATCAAGCATGCAAAGATACGGTATCGCTTATGCATTTATGTATCTACCCGCACCTTACGCAATTCGATATCTGTGCCTAGGTGTATACACCTCGTGCTACATAGCCCACTGTGTTTGCTCAATAGCTCTAATATATATAAATATATACAAATATATATATATGCATAAATATAGATATATATATATATATATATAAATATATATACTTGTATATATATGCTAATCGCACATATCTGTATGTTTCCATGGGCTCACAATGACGTTAAACAATGGGTAGGTAGGTAGTCTGCCCTCCATTGTAATTATTCTAACCCAAAAAAACAAAACATAACATTCCATCACACACACACACAGTGATCAACGGAGAGAACGCGTCATACAAAGCACCGAAGTTCAGGAAAATTAGGCAACGCACCCGCAGGTTACTACTCAACAATCTATTCGACGAGTTTATGCCTGGGCTCAGTCCAAAGTGACCGGCGCTGTCCTGAAAGTATAGGTCCGCTAACACATTGTATGAGCCCCCACAGGCATTTAGCTAAACCCCAAAACCCAGCCAGCCCTAGCAGAAGTGATGGTTGGAACGAAGACACCTTTGTTTGTAAATAAATACTCCATGCCCTGCAGACGGACTATGGGAGTGCACTCTTGTGCGGCATGCATGTGTACAAGGTTCGTTTTAGCGAGTTAGCTTTAGGGTTTTAGGGTTTCACTTCGTTGGGTTGAAGCTGTTTATTACTATTCAGTACTGCTGGTTTGCTGTGTTATGGTTAATTGTCTCGTATCAATACACTCGGAAGGGGGTACACGCGTAAGCAGACGCGTCGCCTATCTAGATACCACATTGGACATACAGTATTCTTATATCTTAACTCTCAATGGCACACTCGGATGGTTTGATTTAGGGTTTAGCCTAAAACCCTAAAACCCTAAACTCTAATACACACGCACGAAGATGCATGCATATCTACGCAGAGAAAAGACATGAGCGTGGTAAGTGAACCAGTGGCTTAAGGCTTGTGCCTCACATAGATATAATCGTTGGTGTTATGCTTGGGTCTCTCTCTTGGTTGGGTTTCGCTGGCCCAGATTCTAAACACATCGGCAGTAAAGTTTGGCAGTTTTTAGGGCTGAGATTAAGGAATGGTATATCACAAGTATGTACAATCCTCATACAGGAATCACACATGCCGGATAAGTAAATGCACACACCTTGTATGTGTCCGTGCTGTAATGCGACTCTCACATGTCCAGTAGATAAGCACACACACACACAGCTCCTCGTAACAAAGCCCACAACGCCGACGGAAAACGGCAAGCTTTACAACTACGTCTGAGCCCATATCATTTTTATATAAGAGAGAGTGCTTACGCGTCAATCCCCACATTACACTCTCCGCTCTGGCAGCACATGCTACAAGCATGTACCGCTGAACGGTGAGTTTCAATATCTGTCGGTGATGCATTCCACCTCCCCTTAACCTTAATTAAAAGTTACATACTAGTTGCATTAGTTCGCAAATCCGCTGAACGGTGAGTTTCTATATCTGTCTGTAATGCATTCTACCTCCCATAAACCTTAATTAAAGTTACATACTGGTTGCATTAGTTCGCAAATCCGCTGAACGGTGAGTTTCTATATCCATCTGTGATGCATTCTACCTCCCCTAAACCTTAATTAAAGTTACATACTGGTTTGCATTAGTTCGCAAATCCGCTGAATGGTGAGTTTCTATATCTGTCTGTGTGATGCATTCTACCTCCCCTAAACCCTAATTTAAGCTGTATACTAGTTGCATCAGTTCATTAATAGGCCAATCTGGCGTTCACATCGCTATCCCTTCGGATACGGTCACCTCGGCTCAAGTGGAGCCTAGGAAGGCGGATATCTCATGGATCATCTGGTCTATCTCAGGCTGGCTGCTCTGTCTCTGAGCGGACTCAGTCGACCGTGGCATGCGACGTGGCTGACCCAGACTCTCGGCTGAGAGTCTGTTATGCTCATGCATTGCACCGGCTTGTTGGTGTTGTTGCTGCTGATTGTGTTGTTGGCGTGTGCTCGTTTCGCCGCCATGAGCGGTGTAGCTGATCGAGTCCCCCTGAGTGTCGTTTGCCTTACCAGCCCGTGTACTGGTAAGCCATGGAGCACTGTGTTCCTTGTGGGAATAGGTGGCTGTGGTGGTGTGTGGCTGTGTCGTATTCTGTAGCTTCACCGCCCCTGCGGATGTCGTGCTCCTGGCACTGAGCGTGCGTTGCAGTGCGGCGGGTGGTGCATAGTTGTAGCTCTGGTGTCGTCGATGCCATTTCTCCCGATGCTGCTGTTGTTGTTGCTGTTGCTGTTGTTGTTGTTGTTGTTGCTGTTGTTGCTGTTGTTGTCGTTGTTGCTGTTGTTGTTGTTGTTGCTGTTGTTGTTGTTGTTGCTGTTGGTGTAGGTGAGGTGTTGTTGCCTCATGACTGGGGTGTGGGTACCTGAGGTACTGTGAGATAGACGGTGACTGGTGGTCAGTGGTGTGTGGATGGGTTGACTCTAAGCTCTCCTGCAGCGCTGTATGGGGCGAGCACATACTTCTTTGCCGCCGCATGGTATCAGGCCGTGCTAGTTCGAAATTGAATACAGACGCACGTGGTTTATCTTTGGCAAAGTCTTGGGGGCCGATGGACTGTAACACACTTGCATCCCGTACATTCCGCTGTCGAAGTGGTTCAAAGTGGGTTGGAGTATAGCTGTTTCTAAACCCCGTCGTTGTATTGGCACCTATGGCACTTGCACTTGTATATGTTTTTCGGACCGGAAACCCGGGCGACGGGAATTGTTGCGAAGCCTGTCTCCCATAATTGTCTGACAGTGCGCAACGAAGGCTGCTGGGGTCCGTTGCCGCGGAGGTGCAGGTTGAGTCCTGAGCAAATGGATTGGTAAGTGCCTGTGTGTTCCCTGTCAGGTACGAATCGTCTGTCACATCCAGCCGAGTAGGCTGACTTTGTAAAGCCATATCCGGAGCACCCGCAGAAGTTCTTGAGCTCACTTTCGTGTAGGTACTGTAGGGCTGCAGGCTGAGCCGGCGTTCAACATTGGCTGTGATCGTTCTACGAACGTTAGGTTTAGTTTGCGCCGCAGTGCACGGTGCTCTCACTAACTGTGTCTCATTAGACTTCGGTTGCTTACCATGTTCCACTTCTATTACATCAGCAGGCTTGGTTGATGACTCATTGGCCCCAACGGTGTGAATCTGACCTCGAAGCTGCAGTCGGTCTTCAGTCTGCCCTATTGTTGTGGACTCGGGGTTGTCCTTCTTTTTGAGTTTTTGGGACCGTGCTTGTTGATTGTGCTCATACGCCATAACAACAGCGAGATACTCCGCATCGGTATTCACATCCGACCTTTGGGGGCACCGGTTTGGGTCGTTCAAGAGTTGCGAGTACATGTACGGTTGCTGCATTTGTTGTTGCTTCTTACTTTTCCTTCCCTTGGCCTTGCTGACTTTGGTGCAAGGTTTTGGGCCGGTAGTTTGCTTTACTGTCTTCACTGAAGTATCGGTGTGCCGCACTTTGTTGTCTGTGTCTCTTCCACCAGTTTGCGCTTCAGTACTGAGGTCGAGGTTCTCACTATTTTTATCTGTAGAGGGAATTGCAGTGGGTGCTGGTCTGGTGTTTGTCCTCGTATCGTATCGCTTCTGCAGTTCGTGAGCTAGCAGCCTACTGCCCAAGATCACATCACACTTACTGCCAGAGCTGCTAGAGTTTCGCCTTTGTTCGTTGAGGATATCAATAGACCACATTTTATCAGCCAAATAAGCTTCTTCTGTAAATGATGAGCGGCCAAGGCCTCTGATTGTATCCCCCGGTGTTGGGCTTGTGTTTGATCGCTGGCGCTTGGGCCTTTTCCACGAATCTGTGGGCGATAAGGAGCGCGATCTGTTGCTCGCTATACTTACAAATAACTTTAAGCCCAATTCTTCCTCAATTGCAGACAATTGGACCGCAGGTGGCAAATGTGTCTGTAGCAGCTGTCCATCCTGTGGGGTTAGAACAGGAACGTATTCATATTAACACTCAGGAATCCCTCAATACAATGTCTATAGCGTAATTTCATATGTGAAAGCAATCAATTCGTTCCTGAAAAAAAACCCAAAAAAACTGTGTAATTGTAACTTTACGTTTCGTGCGATGGTCTTAGACATGTGGTCTCCACAACCCACGGGATGAATCTTGTTGTTGTATAGGCTCGAACTGGATTTCACTTGATACTGTAAATTCTCACCAGCATCCTGTGGCTGCGACCGCATTCGAGTCGATTCTAAATGAAAAGAATTGTATCTGAACAGATTCGCGCTCGCATGTGATGGAACAGAAGTATGCTTATCGGCCGGTGTTTGTACCATCGTGCGAGCTATGCAGTCGTGTGACACTTGAAACTTACCCGAATCGAGTACAGATTCGTTTGCAGCATGTCGTACTTTACTACCGCTATATGCTATCAAATGAGGCTTCTGATCTTGCGTGCTTGTCGATACGTTTGTTGTTGAAGGTGTATAAAATTCAGGGTTGTCATATGGTTTTCCAGGTTGCTTCTGTATATTGTAAAGTTGGTCTTGAAACGTTTGATCGTCGCTACATTCGACATGTCGGTCCGAGAACACTTCGAAAGTATTGCTATCTCCGTTATCTTGACGTAAAAAACTATATAGATCCTTTATAATTGATTCAGTAATTACTTCAGCACAATCAGTACTCCGTCTCCAACCTTCCGGATGCGGAACCAAAGGCATGCCTACTACACTAGATCACATGGATGCCCTTCGGAATGAGCACCACAACTAACTAGAGACATCAGTCGTCACACATATGATACATTTTGTACTATGATACCAGTATTAAATACCTTTACTCATGGTATGTATACTGAAAGGAGATGCAGGCTTTCAATTTTCAAGTGCTGAACATAGGCAAACTTCGATATTTAGAGCAAGTAAATATTTCTCTACCCATGAGACGAGAGCATGTATGTATGTATTTTTATAGAAATAAAAAATATAGCAACGAACCTCAAGTTTCATATCAGCTCAATTTTTTAGGGTTTGTTCTTGTATTTTTTCACAAAACAAAACAAAAAAAAGTAAACTTGAAAATATATACAAATGTCGCAAACATATTTACATCACTTCCCTCTGGTAAACGACAACGACAGGAAAATATCAAACTAAATACTGAAAAGACCGTCGCGACGTAGGACATGACTTTTGGGACTATTTGTACAATATAGGAGGCTAAGTATGGACTAATAATATTTATTGTCGAACAGATATTTACGCTATCCATAAACATGCGTAGTTATTCTAATACAGTGTCGTTTACCAGGATCCATATATATATATATATTTAAATTATTAAAAAATATCCATAGACCTCTGAAAATAGAACAAATATTGCATGAAAACGAATATGAAAAATTCACACTGTACCAAAATACCGTTTGTGGCTTTGTTTTGGCTTTTTTGCTGGTTACAGTGCCACAGGGTAGACTACCACGAGTCTGCCAGAGTTGTTTTTTCCCCCCCGACTGAGGCCGAAACACATTCGTTACTCTTCTGAAGTTCTGAGACTCGTGAGTCGTGAGTGATAATAAAAAAGCCTGAAGCCTGAAGCCTGAAGCCCTGAAGCACTGAACCCTGAAGTCGAAGGTCAAGGAGTGAAGGTCGAAGGACTGAGAAGTCTGAAGGGCGAGGGCTTACAAAATTCCTCTCTAGAGTGAAATAAAAAAATACAAACATACATATAGCCATTAAATGCAGGAAAAATATGAGACGTCAATCGAGTGGACAACCGATACGGTTATTTCATTGGCCGATAGGTTTTCGGAAAGGTCCAACCACATGTTAGGTACCTTCATTCTTGAACAATTCTCCTTGCTCGTGTTCTAGGCCAAACACACCATATTTTGTTCATAGTATAGTGAGGATGCGCGCACACACACTTACCGTCCTATCCTGACTGTTAGTAGACAAAACTAAAGTCTTTGACTTGAAGTGCTTTGTCTCGGGAATAGATTCCCGTTTAGCACGTTTCTTGTCTCCTTTTTCAGCTATTTGCAACATATACCCATGCTTTGCCGACTCTGGGCACGTACACGCATCACTAACAAGGTGGAAGTTTCAGCTGTTGCACATTAAGGAATTTCAAATACAAGTAAGCTTTCCTTTTTCTAATGCTATTTCAGCAGTTGACATGAAGTTGTGTTTGCTCTTAACAGGATACAGTAAATAAGTCTAGCTTAACTTCTATACTCGATGTACTTGGATCGAATGTTCTGCTGTCTGCGATCCTGTGATTTACACTTATTGTTTTATACCAGACTATGCCATATGTATGGCTCTAATCACATGTCAGAGTTTTACAAGTCAAGTGCCAAATATACTGTCAACATGCAGCAAGGACAAAAGGCAAAAGTCAGCTTGTCAGGCTGGCCTGAAATTGGACTTCATAGTAGTTTTGGGCCACTGTATATCGACATAAACGTTTAAAGAGTTAATTTTATAAAGTGTTTCACGAATAACGTAATGAGGTCTGCCAGTCTGGGAGTGGGATGTTTCACATAAATATGTATGTATTTTGTATTTTGTTTTTTTTACTAAAACCCAAATAAGTATTTGAATTCAAACCTTTAACTTTACTGAGACTCTGAGTCTGTGTAGTTCTAAAACTCTTGTGTGAAGTTTCAAGGCCTATCTAAGTTCTTTCTCTATGAAAACGATACAAACTTGACTATTTAGACCCACACAAGGTACACCTAAAAAAAGGCCGAATATGGAATTCAAGTTGAACGTAAACGTATATTCATTCGATATATAAAAGTATTATCGGAAAAAGATTTGAGGTTAGGTGTCAAGTGTGGTCTGTCAGCTGACTGAGAATGAGACTCCAATTCTCCATCTCTCGCTCCAAAATTGAAAGTAGAGAGTATATGGAGTTCCAACTTTAATGTTATTTTTAGCATACCTTTTATATTTGTTTTTGAAAATAGTTAAAACTTTCATTTAAGACAAATCAACTACCTTTAAAAAAAGTGTTTTGAAAACTGCCCTCAATAAGCTGTCCTATAGTTGAAGATTTTAGGGTTTAGGGTTTATGTTATGGAAAATGCACCTATCATATGTTACAACTTTTTAAATATGTTTTTTAAGGCTAATAAAATTATTGAGCCTAGTCTTAGGGGGTGTCTTAATTATCTGATTTTGAATTTTCATATTCAGGAATTTACATTTTCAATCAATAGTGAGGTAATACTTTTGAATTGTTTTTTTTTTTGAAATATCATGCTACAAAATCGTACATACAAACTTTAAGCCTAAGCTTATAACGTTTTGGGGGTACGGGATAAAAGTTGAATGTAAACGTATATATATTCAAATTATAAAAGTTTTAACGGAAAACAGTTTATATGTCCTTTCTGAACGGAATCGGAATCAGAAATTTCTGACCACGTTTTTTTTTTAGTCACCCTATCTATAGTTTTATTTGTCTATTTTAAATTGTATAAAGACTGTGAAGTGTGAACTGACTGAGCTCACTCAAGTGACTCAGCTACGAATGATGCATTGCTCACTCTCTGAGACTGACTGACTCCGAGTTTCTGCCTCTCACTCTCTCAAGAAGGTCAGAGTGATCAGAGTTCACTGTTCAGACTTCACTGCTTCAGACTCACTAAATATTTACCTCTGCTGGTGGAGTACTGGAGGCATGGGCTCAGTAAATAACCTCATTACGTTAACTAAACGGAAATATATACATAGGTCTAAACAGCTAACAACAGCTAACAAAATACTCAACTTTACATTCGAGGTTTACACTGTTCAATTGAGAAGAAGGCTATGTTTACACCTCTATTTCTTTCAAAATAGAATATTTATATGTAACGTGGGACGTTTTGGCAACAAATATTGATTATATTTAGAACAATCGTATTGACCTATAAATTTTATTTTTATTAAAACCAAAATGTCGGTTGTTAAATGGTACATTTGACAAAAATTCACTATTTTACTGACCATCTCTGCTGTGCCCTGCCGAGAGTCTGGGACCATGCGCAAATAGTCAAATAGAGTAAATACTGAACTATTTACTGACTACTGTGAAGAATCGAAGATTCAGAAGTAGATGACATATTTTTTTTGTGGAATCTGTAACACTTTAAATTCAAATTACAATGTCGTCCTTCTCGTTTCGTTTATATATTTGCTATAACTATTTTATCTACAATAGCCTAATTCAATTTAGAAGGCGATGATTTATCATTTGTTGAATTAGGAATATTAATTTTATTCCAATGCTGATTACTCTCTCTCGAAGCCTCGATTGGTGATTTCAGATTTGAGGTCTCCTGGCTTCTCAGTCCATCTCGTGTCTCGCCACTCGCGCATGTATATGTTGCACTCTCGCGTATAGATAACCGCTATGTGGTGGGTAGATTATACAAGTTTAGTACTTGATTTTTTTTAGTCACGGGATTTGGTTTGGATAGAGCTGTTCAAAATGCCATAAAAATGGGTCGGGGAAAGTTGATGTAAATAAATAGCAAAATGTTTGGTCTGACCATGCTCAAACGGCCAAAATTTTGATTTTTGATTACGAACGTGATAGTCTCACACAAATTTCTATAAAAACTCACATACCGTTTATACACACGCAACACTATTCATACATAGACTATATATATATATACAAACGATGCTGTCCTCACCGGAGCGCTTGAGGACACCACCAGAAACTCTCTGACTCTGAAGAGAAGTTCATAAGTAAAGATGCCTACGAAAATAGTCGGAACTAGATATTTGTACGGTTGGACTGAAGTACGCACGCTTTGGTAAGGATGTAAAGATCTGTGATCGTTTGTGTATATATGAGCACCAATATGAAGTAGAACCTGAAGAAAAGTTTTGCGAAGGTTGGGATGAAAGACTAGGCATATATAAAGCTATAGGTAGAATTTAAAGGTTAGGTATGGTTTAGACTGAGCCGGGTATTAAGTGAGTAAGATGTCGCGCACGCTTTAACAATGACATACTGACATCTGACTTCCAAAGTTATCAACAATCAACTTTGTATATTTTTCTCGTCCTGATATTGCCTGTCAGTCTTCAGAGTTTGGCCTGACATCGGTAAATCAATTTCGAGCTTTTGACTTGCGCGCGGGCAGTGAATATAAAGCCGCATTGGGACCCAAATATGGCCCAGATACCGCAGTACCAGCACTATTGGGTCATTTAGACATTTACAGTACTGTCCCAAAAACAGCAAAAAATCCCAATGTGAGATAAATTTATTTTTTTGGGAGACACACCATAGCCTTTTGAAAATTAAAGAAGGCTATGGACACATATTTTTTTTGTCTGAGTCAAGCGACCTAAGAACATCTGGGTGATCTTGTTCCCCTCGAAATTCATATTAGGCGGTTCCAAGTCGATTTTTGTTCCTGCTATCCCCTGCCTGCTTTTTTTTTGCTGATTTGGCTCTATACTCTACTAAAATTTCACTACTGAATTTGGTATAGGCCCGAAATTAATATTAGGGTTTTGGGATCCAAACCCTATTTTCGTTTTTTTTCTTGGAAAAAACATATCTGGTTTGGTAGGAACTGGCTTGGAGTAAGGTAAATATAGAGTATAGGCGCCTGCCTTCTACTTTTTTTGGGGAAATGTTAGCAGAAACAAAAATCGATTTAGAACCGCCTAAGCACTTTGCCGCCACAAAATGTGTGAATTGACCATTTTTCGAGGTGCTGTGGTCATCCGAAAATGGGCCCTACTACAGTACCGCTACATCACGTCGTCACAGAGTCCCTTCTCTTCAATTATTGATAATCTTGTAGACCTGAATCGGTGAATTCTGAGTCCTGACTCATGAGTCCCTAATCGCCTGGATTTACGAACAACATTTAGGCAAAGCACATGCCATACTTGTCGTGACGACATTTTGAGTCGCGACATCGTGACTGGTGTCGTCAGGTTCATTGGAGGCTGCATCAGTGTGCATCACATATATCTAAACAACATGTCATACATGTCCCCGCGAAAACTTTCCATGGGTGTCTGTACCTCGTTGTTGTATATATATGTGCCAACTACCAACACAGCTGATCACTGATGACATTTGTTCAGTCGTGCAGGCCTGCAGGATTTCCCATGTAAAAATATTAGGCTTTTCGGCTCCTCTATTAGGGTTTTATAACAATTCGGTGGTTGGAAGCCGGTCAGTTGATTCCGGAATAGAACACCTGCAGTGAGTATTATTTACACAAGTCCCAAACGATGGAAGTATTGTGTACAAAAGTGGAGCATGAATGATAGCGTCAGAACTGGGACCTGGCCGAGGACAAACGAGTGTGCTATTCTAAGAAGTCCACGGCTGGGATTATGGTGGACTCAAGACCGATCAGAAAGATATTTTAGGCTTTTTCCTTAGGTCCGAGATTGATGAGGGCTTTATCCGAGTTATGTCTTTGAATATACCCTTCTGAAATTTTTTAGGTTATGGGTTATGCCCAGAATTGAACAAACCAGATATGTACAGAGATGTCAATTTATATTGCATCGGTAGCTGACATTCTAAAAAAAAAGGAATCCGGCTACGTCTCTGCTGCAGAAACTGATCATTTGTTGCGGTGTATTACACCTTTAGATTAATTTTATCAATAGGCTTATGTTCACAGGCCCAAGATATTTCATTGCTGTTAGACGCACCGTTTGTAAATATTAGAGCATTCTGTACCCGGAGATCAGAATGATTGCCACTTTTCGCACATGCGGAATTTTCAGTACACACCCTCAGAAATAGACTTTCAACTGTGGGTCCAAGAATATCAGAGGCTTGATATTTGAATAGATAAATGCATCGCACCGTAGTGCACCAGCAATATTTCACCACCGAGTAGCCGATCGATCGGGTTGGTGTTGTAAGCGGTTTAGAGTCGCCACGTGACCCTATTTTGAACCAATATTTAATAACATGAGTAAAAGTTGCAGCAACCTGTCTCGGATAAAAGATCAGTAATAGAAACTAGCAAACTGATACATTTATGAGTTGTGACAACCCACAGATTTCTTTCCAATACGTGGTTTCTGTTAGAGGTCTCTACAGTGTAACATACTTCGACATAATCGTATATATTTTCACGGTTTGAGCGAAATCAGATTGTTTTGCAGAATGGACTAGTAGTTCTGTCCATGCGAGAAACGAACGTATATCTGCGAAATTCGCCGTTGTAGACTATGAAATTCTCCCGTGTGTATTAGCGAATATATTTTTGCTCGATACGGTTTATTCTGAACCAGTGCCAAGCCGGACGTATGTACTACTCCCGAAGCTCGGGTCCTATTGGGCTCGCCTGTCGCCAAAGGATCACCGTCAGGAGACACCTGAATTATATCGAGGGACGTTTCTCGCAAAGATTATAGCAGGGGTTTTCAGGGTTTAACCATTTCCTTGTTTTGTTCCTTTTTTGCAAGAGGCTATGGTATCATATAAATTGACGAATGTGCGCACCTCTGCACTATATTATCGAGAATTAATACTATCTATTTTGTAGATTACTTTTTAAACGCCGAATAGCATATACTATACTCTCCTCGTCGTAAAGAATGGTTTGTAATTATTGATGAACTCACTATGTCCTTTTAAAATAGAGTGTATTGGCCTGAGGCGATCACTCTTATTATCCTAGTCAGGTAATCAGATATATTTATTATTCGTTAGCACACTTTAACCGTATGCAGGTGTAGCTGGAGAGTATGTGAATCCGTTTTGTTGCCTTGCTCGTGCTTGCAAGTGCGAGAGACTCTCCTTGACGATTTGTATCGTGGTATCGTGAATCCCGGCTGTTGAGCTGTATATTAAAGTAGAGGGGCAGAAACATCAATATCAAACGGAAAAAAATAAAAAATTTAGAGCGAGTTTCTATTAAGAGCATTGAACTTCCAAAAATGACACCACCAGACAGCAGAAACAAATCAGAATTGATTTGAAATTTACCTCCAGCCCTGATCTTAGAGTTGCAGGGTTTGGAGGTTTAGGGGATTAACATGTAGGTTCATCTTGCACACTACGACAACATGAAGTGAAATCCACTGCTGCGGAAGAAAAGCTTAAACTAGGAATAGAGAAAAACATAAACAACATACTGTAAGAATAAAAACAAAGCAATAGCTAGAAAGTATGCAGATAACAACTTAGTTATACATACAATCTTCAATTAACATGTAACGTGTGCATCCAGTCTTCTTCATGTATTTATAAAACATAAACAATATACATTCTGCACTACACTCATGTGTAAAACATAAACAATATACATCCTGCACTACACCCATGTATAAATCATAAACAATATACATTATGCACTACACCCATTTGTGAAGAGTTTACGAGCAGATCTAAGTATCTATGATCGGATTAAAACTTCACGGGAAATAAGCACTGAGTTGAGCAAGCACATAGTATTGCCCTTCGCATGTGTAACAATCACGCACACACACACGCACACGCACATATAACTATTTGGAGCGCATGCCCAGCTCAACCCACATAATCACAAACTCTCAATTCTATGCCAGTATCAGTTCTCGATCCGCCAGGTGCAAACGGTCCTAAATCTTACAAATAGGTGGAGGCTTCGTTGAGCACGGCCTGTTCCTGGGCCGCCTGGTCCACGTGTATATGCACAGTTGCGATTGTTTTGCTGCCCGTGTATTGCCAGCAGTGGAAGTTCGATGTGTTCACTACGCCATCGATCGCTCGCACCTAAACCAAAGGAAGGCAATGGTCACTCAGCAGCGAATCGGAGGAGTAGCTCAAGAATAGGAATAGGAGAGTAGCTCAAGAATAGGAATAGGAATAGGAATATAAATAGACATAGGGAACAGGAACAGGAACAGGAATAGAAGATAACTGGGTGCGCAAGTACTTGTGGGGTAGGTAGACAGTGGTGACCACCCACTGATTCTGTGTGAGACTAGCGTAGACATGAGGGAACAGACAATGGAACACCAAACGAAACGTGAACGGTTTCTGCATGACATTAGCACAACAAGCCCCAGGGACTCATATATATATATATATTAGTTGCCACACCATGTCTCCGCGAGCCCCCCCCCCCCGGCCTCCTGAAAACCCTATAACCCTACCCCGTTTCCCACCTCCTTTGTCGGTTGTATTTCCCATGTGATGCTTACTCGTGCAAACATGCTATACGTAGCCTGTGGTGTTGACTGTCCTGTGCAACAAGCGAGTCAGCAGACACTCTACCAGTCACTCAAGGTCTCCCACGCACTGTGTTGCCGGTATTCCGTATGGTAGGTAGGCAGGCAGATAGGTAGGTACATGCACACCCAAACAGGAACAGGGGGTACGCACCTATTCACGAGACATCAGGAACAGGCATGGACAAGGTGCCACACAACAACGTAAGGGCATCTGCACTGTCCCAATTAACCTCTTTTTTGGTCACCCCTCAAACCTTTTTTTGGGGGGCCACCCTCGTTCCCCCCCCCCCATAAACCCCTAATGTGCATTCATCCTACTACACGCGAGGATATACTGATCCTGCATCATAACGAACCACCAACTTCGGAACAAACCAAACAGTACAGAAGACATGCACACAGCTATCCATCTGAGACATGCACACAGCTATGCAGGTGTGTGCACTCAGTCCACCCACCTTGGCCAAGGTGCGGTTGAGCTTATTCTCGGCACTCTTGGGGGTGCGTTGCAATAGCTGGCGGGTGAGACCACGCACCAACGGCATGGCAGAGAGAATGATCAACACGGCTATGCAGATGGAGCAGATGGGATCAGCGATCCACCAGCCAAAGTTATCTGTGAGAGGCACAGGTACAATGAGAAGGACACAGTGTGCAATGGAGAGAGTGTTGTAGGTACAATGATTAGGAGGCAGTGTGTAATGGAGAGAGTGTTGTAGGTACAATGAGTAGGAGGCAGTGTGCAATGGAGAGAGTGTTGTAGGTACAATGAGTAGGAGGCAGTGTGCAATGGAGAAAGTATTGTAGGTACAATTGATCCGATGCTGAGACCATAAGCCCTCCAAGACCGGCCCAATTGCCCTCAGTTTGAGGTGCAGGGCTAGAGTGTCCTAGATGTCTACAAATAAGAAGAGTGAGTGTCACTGCAGACAAACGGTATACTTTGCATGATTGTGTATGTGGGTACATTTAAATAGGGAGCGTAGCGCACCCACTGGCCACCAGACGAGGCTGTATTCTAGGATTTTAGGGTTTTAGGGGTTTGGTTCCGGACAGGTGCAGTTGATAATAATAAACGGTTTGGCTGTAATGTAGAAGATCTGTAGATGCGTAGTTGTGGTGCTACCACGTGCTATAGGCATAGAAATGTTCGGTACTCCCGCCCATTTATCGAACCCCCAACTGCCGATATAAGCCCGAGTCCAAATCTCATCGTATCACGTAGCTAATTGGCCTAGCATGTACTAAAACCCTAAACCGCAACACCTACGCAAAATGACTTAAAACCCTATACCTCAGAACCCAAAGTCGGGTCAATTTCACTTCGTGGCAAGAACACTCAGCGAAGAGTACCATTGCGCGAGAAGCAACTTGCCACACACACACAAACAGGCATAAAGTCACAGTACTACCACGCACTCACATTCCCATACCAACCCGTCCATCCACTCACACACACACACAAACACACACATACATATATATATATATATATACAAGAAATATACATCTTATTTGAGTCATGACTATACTATATAGATACAATGCACACACAAACACAAACACGCATACAAGAAATATACATCTATTTGAGTCATGACTATACAATATAGATACAGTGCACACACAAACACAAACACGCATATATATATATATATATATATATATATACATATATATATATATATATATATATATATATATATATATATATAATATATATATAGTAGAGTATATAGTAAAATATAAATTAAATTAAATACATACATCATACCACACCCTTCCAAATCGTACAATATTATACCATGCCTTACCATAACAACCCATACCCTTACACTTCATACCACACTATACCTATAAGCAGCGTCGCTATAATCACCCCCACACTTCCCAATGTGTCGGCTAAGACGTGCAGAAAGACACCTCGCATGTTGGCGTCGTGGTCGGAATGGTCCTCTTCTACTATCTCTTCCTCTTCCTCTTGTGCGTGTGCGTGTGCGTGGTTATCGCCACCTCCATGCCCGTGGCCGTGATTAGCCTGACAGTACGGACAGCACAGCAGTGTGAGAAGGCGTGCAAAGAGGATTGTGTGTGCATAAGATGATTATGTATGACAGGATTTGAATATATATGAATATACAGGCACACACACACACACACACACACCCATATATATATATATATATATACATATTGATATACACAGACATGAATAACATATACATATTATTCGTCATCAGCATCCTATTCTCGTCCAAGAATACATACCTCGCATGTCTGTGTCGGTGCCCCATGCGCATGTCCATGAGCATTCTCCGGCACTCCGTGTGCGTGTGCATGTGCGTGTTCCGTAGGCCTGTCGTGTGCATTTCCATGATCTTCGGATTTCTTTTCCTTTGAACTCCCACACCCATGCGAATGGCCATGGTTTCCTGAGATGCAGAAGGTAGGTAGGTAGATACATGACTTAGAAGGGTGGTAGGTAGATATATGACTTAGAAGGGTGGTAGGTAGGTATACGACTTAGAAGGGTGATAGGTAGATATATGACTTAGAAGGGTGGTAGGTAGATATACGACTCAGAAGGGTGGTAGGTAGATATATGACCTCCTTATACGGCCAGGGACACGCGTGGCAGCATGTGTGCTGTGAGAGCTCATCACCACCATGGGCATCAAAAGGTGATGTTACGCTCTTATCTTGTTTGGTTTGTAGGATCGAGAGGAGGGAGCACAGAGATAGGGTTTGTTGGTATTGAATTGAGTGGAATAGATACCATACTACGCGGGATCTTGCACACAGTTCGGTATATTGTCTCTTGATCATACATGTACTTAGAAATGATATACAAATCTATCGGATACGCAGACACAGACACCAGCACAGACACATACACCAACACAGACACAGACGCCAACACAAACACATACACCAACACAGACACAGACACGAAAACAGACACAAACACTGATGCAAACACAGACAAAGACCCACATCAACGGTGTTGTTCGATTGAACGGCACAAATGGAGGACTGCACGCAGTCGAAAGACGTCACGTCATGGCACACAGAAACACGAATGCAAATGCACTCAAAAACAGCACAGGACTCACATACAGCCAGTGAACACGCGCATGTGGCGAAGGAGAAGAGTGCATGGACCAATGTACACACATCAATTCTCATGGATACATGCATGTTCATGTACACACACACGCACACACATATATGATAGATACTCACAGATACTCACAGATACTCACAGATATATATATATATATATATACAAGTATGTATACGTCTACTTTACACACATGTACACACAAACTCACCGCCGCCATGTGAATGCGCATGTCCTAAGGAGAACATGCCCACCAAATTAACTAGCAGACCGGCAAATGATACCCCAAGCAAATTCTCAGTCGTCATCTCAGGTTTCTCAAACATGCGTGCAACGGCCTCCTTAGTGATACTCACAGCAATAAACACAAGGAACAGTCCGTTGATGTAGCCGGAGAGGACCTGTATTGTAGGTATATGTATGTATGCAGGTGAGAGAGAATGACGCTGTTGTATTTATATGTATATGTACATGTACATGTTATATATGTATATTTATGAGATGATCTGTAATATATGTATAGGTATATATGTAGGTGCGAGAGAGATTAAACCTGTGCTATATGCACATGCATATATATTGGTGCAAGAAGCTGTGTAATATGTACATGTATACATGTATGGGATATAACCTTCTTTAATAAATATACATGTTTATGTATATAAATATAAATATAAATATTAACATAAATATAAATATAAATAAACATATATATATATATATATAGAAAAAATTAAGTATCAATTGTTGTCATGAAGCTAATGTGTAGAATAGATCAAATGTGTACAATACCTTCACTTTTGCAATGCTCACAGCCGTGTACCCTAAAACCCACACGTCTTCATGCAAACAACGCATGAATACACACACAAACAATAAACAATAAATGATAGGCAGATGTGGGCGAACGGACCTCTACAACCCTAATCCCTAAAACCCTAAGTGTATGAGAAACCACTGGACCATTAGGCCCAATACACTGACCACCAAATACCTAACCGAAGTAAAAGACTCGGAGACAGCAGGAGACGAGCAGAGGGCATTATATCTGGTCTATACATTTCACATGGTACACTTCAGCAGTACGTTACGAAGCGAAACGAAGAAATCACTCGATGCACGACCCATGCACGAGCACACCTATATGGTATATATCCACACACACACACCCAACACACACATATATATACAAATATATATGATAACGTACCTCAACACGACCGTAGCCGTACGTATACGTAGAATCACTAGACCATCTACCCACCACACTCGCCACCAACCCAATAGCCAACGCCAAATTGTCGAAGAGCATGTGAAATGCATCTGACATCAGGCCCAAACTGTTCGTCCAGAAGCCGTAGCCGAACTCAATGAACATGAAGGCGAAGTTCAGGCACAGGAAGTAGAAGATGCGACGGGACTCAGTGGCGCCCAGAACGATCTTGAGATATCTGTAGTGGTAGGGGATAGTCAGGGGGAAGGTAATGGGTAAGGATGGTACACACAACGTACAAAAGAGACAAAAATACGAATACGAATGCATATAAAGATACACAAAGACGCACACATAGGCACACAGACACATAGACACACAAAGCACAATACAAATACAAACACAAAAACACACAGACATACACAAAGACACACAAAGCACAATACAAATATACACACAGACACACAAAGCACAATACAAATACAAACAGACATACACAAAGACACACAAAGCACAATACAAATATACACATCCACACAAAGCACAATACAAACACAAAAACGAAAACAATAACAAATACACACAGACACACAGATGGCATGCACCGACACACAAGTGTATGTCAGGACATATACATACAAACACACACCGCACAGACACACAAGCGTATATCAGGACATACACACGCACACATCCATACGCACCTTGCAGATACGCTGACAACTACATTGACATAGCCACCAATGCCCAAGGAATCCAGCGATGCGCTTCCGAACTTCGGGTCCACCAGCGGCAGACTCGACGACTGTGGGGCGGATCTGCGAAATACACACGCGATACGTAGTGTGTTAGTGGTTGGAGTGTGTATGTACATGAATGTATGTACATGTATATATGTACATGCATATATTGTCTAATGTTACGTAGTGTGTTATTGGTTGGTGTGTGTATGTACATGAATATATGTACAAGTATATATGTACATGCATATATGGTCTTATGTTACGTAGTGTGTTATTGGTTGGTGTGTGTATGCACATGAGTACATGGTCGTTTGCTATTGATAGTTATGTACTGGAGCGAAGTTTTAATAGACACAATAAATGTTTTGATTGGTCTATCGTACATAACGCTTTTAGACAGAAAACGCTTGGGGCTTTGGTGTGGGGTGCATATGCCCTCGAGTATCGACTTGTTTGTGTCTGTGTGAGACAACCACTAACTTGTACTATAATACCTTACTAACTTGTACTATAACACCACACTAACTTGTACTATACGACCATACTAACTTGTATTATAACACCAGACGTTTTCAGCTCAAAGCTGACTGTGGTGTCTACAAGGAAGCAAACGAACTGCGATACACAAAGCAAGCAGCGTTGGTGGTTCAACTTGTGACACATATCATGTCCACATACCCACACACACACACACCCATATATACATACATACATACATGTACATATATACATACATACATATATATATATATATATATATAGATATATATATATATACATATACACATAAATACTAATAAACATAAATACTTATAAACATATTCAAATATACATATACACATCCTTAGACACACATATATAGCCAGAAGCAAGCCTGCCCCTCGCACCACCTACTTCTTCAGCTCAGCACTGCCCGTAATCGCCCTATCCACCAGACCAATAACATACGTCCCCACAACCATCAGCGTATACCCTACCAACGCTATAAACCCTAGCGACTGAGCATAACCAGACACCATGCACATGCATAGTGCCAGGAACACGCAGATGATGTAGGTAGATGGGGCCCATTGAGACCGAGCACACGTGCTGTTGAGCATGGAGCTCAGGTAGTGTGTGAAGAAGGTCATGCCTCCTGCCATCACACCCATGCGGATGAGCCACCCGTTGCTTGGGTTGGCGTGTCTGTGTGTGTGTGTGGGGTGGGTTAGCGGACGAGAGAAGGGGTCTGTAGTAGGGTCAAGAGAAGAAGGAGTCTGTAGCAGATAGCAGAGATCTGTAGAAGAAATAATAGCAGGGATCTGTAGAAGAAATAATAGCAGGGATCTGGCGTATGTGAATGTATAAATGTATTTAATGTGCGGGTGTAAATGCGTGAATGTATGAATGTGAGTGTGTAAATGTGTGAATGTATGAATGTGTGCGTGTGTAAATGTAAGAATGTGTGTGTGTGTAAATATATGAATCTGAGTGTGTGTAAATGTGTGAATGTGTACGTGTGTAAATGTGTGAATGTACGAATGTGTGTGTGTGTAAATGTATGAATGTGTGAATGTGTGTGTGTGTAAATGTGTGAATGTATGAATGTGTTCGTGTGCAAATGTATGAATGTGTGTGTGTGTAAATGTGTGAATGTGTACGTGTGTAAATGTATGGATGGGTGTGTGTGTAAATGTATGAATGTGTGTGTGTGTAAATGTGTGAATGTGTACGTGTGTAAATGTGTGAATGTGTGTGTGTGTAAAAGTGTGCACGTGTGTAAATGTATGAATGCGTGTGTGTAAATGTATGAATATGGGTGTGTGTAAATGTGTGAATGTGTACGTGTATAAATGTGTGAATGTATGAATGTGTGTTTGTAAATGTATGAATGTGGATGTGTGTAAATGTGTGAATGTGTGCGTGTGTAAATATGTAAATGTGTGAATGTGTGCGTGTGTAAATGTATGAATGTGTGAATGTGCACGTGTGTAAATGTATGAATGTGTGAGTGTAAATGTATGAATATGGGTGTGTGTAAATGTGTGAATGTGTACGTGTATAAATGTGTGCGTGTGTAAATGTATGAATGTGGATGTGTGTAAATGTGTGAATGTGTACGTGTGTGTGTATGGGGAAGGGGGGGGAAGGGGAAGATGAATAGGGGAGGTGAATAGGGGGTAGATGAGACGAGGCCATGAGACAGTAGACTGTGTCGAAAAGTACGTACACGAAGTTAACGGAATGTTTGGGATGTTGTATGTGATGATATCAAGATATTGCGAGAAAGTTATTGACCTTGTACTTCTATCATAATGTATCAGGCGTTGAGACGAAATTTATCTGAGCATGACATACACAACAATAAAGTCCCTGAGAACATTTATACTAGAGCACGCAGCATAGAACGCCTGTCTGCGCTACTAGACGCTCACATGAATATATACATGTATATAACACATGTATATTTAAATATACATGCATATAAATATGTACATAAACACGTATATACGCACGTATTTATGCTTGTATATATACACGTATATATGTATGTATATATCACACGTATATATGCATGTACATATACACGTATATATGCATGTATATTTGTGTGTATATATCACACGTATATATGCATGTATATATATACACCTTTATGTCCCGCGCATATATACATGTTTACGTCTAGATTTATCTGAAATGAAAGCTGTACTTCGGATGATATTGAGAATGTTCGAGAACACAACCCTCCCCCGAAAACAATAAAGACAGTCATACTGAGACACTATACACGATATACATACACACATGCACACACACACATAGATATATACACAAATACAGACATATATATATATACATATATATATATATATAATTAAGAGACGTATATATACATATATATACATAAATTCATATACACATATCCACTTGTGACAATCATTACAACCCTAACTTACCCATCTGCAATGGGCTGTGAGCACATGTACCAGATGGCACACAGTATAGCTGCGCCTATCTGTGACATGGGAATGAGTCGTGTTGCCGAGTCGATGTCGCTGCTGGTTTTTCGCGTCATGCGCTGTGCTATAACTTCAGCCCCAGCGGCCAACAACACCAGAAGAAGCCCTGAATGCGTATGTGTGTGCGTGTGTATGTGTGCGAGTGTGTTAATGTGAATGTGAAGTGTAGTTATTAGACAAGGCAGATGTACCTCTCCTGCCAATCCAACGTGTGTGTGTATGTGAAGGTAGAATGTCCCGGTTGTAACTTCCGCAAATACACATGTTGTGAGTGTTTAGAATGCTTTTGTGTATGAGGTGTGTTCGTGAATGTGATCCAGACGGACTCACGCATTCTCTCTCGACAAGTACATGCTCATGATGGGTTGTGCATGTGTGTAACTATGAAGCATGTGTACATACACTTTAGCGTGTATACGTATACTTTAGCATGTTTGCATACACTTTAGCATGTATACGTATTCTGTCTATCTGCACATTTGCCCATCTCTGACAAGCGCACCAGTCAATATGACGTATACTTGCATATGCCTTTCATCTACATACACGCACGTTTCTATCAAGCGTGTGTGTGGACGATATTTTCTACACACACACACACACAACACCCTAGATCACTGTGTCAATGCAAAACGAAAGCCCATTCGGTTGTGTACAGATGCACAAAGCATTGCAATACGCTCTGTGCTGCTCTTACCAGTAGGGAAATCGTTTGCCGAAACAGACTCGGGTGAGAGCAACACCTTTGCCGCATGCTCATCTAAGATGGCCTCCTCGAGGATATTATCTTCGGTTTCATTGGTCGACAGCGCGGCCGCTGCTCCCTCGCTCGCAATCTCTGCGAATTGATTGGCCGTGGTGGTATCGAAGAACCACACACACAGGACGCCGACGAGTACGAGTACAACGCCGCGCTTGGCCTGCATGGGCACCAGCCGATTGGACCGAGAGAGAACCATGCTCAGCACGGTTATCATGACAACGGTCGTTGACTCGAAGATCAGGAACACGCGGGAGGGGCTCAGCATCGGGATGGACGTTGCTAGGCAACCGATGGACACAGCTGTCACTAGACTGTGCACAGCCACCTTCCCCATCTGCGTACGAGCGAAATAGAAAGGTAAAAATCGGTACTATGGAACCTATGGTTACAAAGGTACAATCAGGCCGGTCTTTGTATGAGAGATATGTGGATGTGAAGGAGGATACTACGGTGGTTAAGACCAATCATTGGAGCTTTTGACCTGTTGCGTCTGCTTATGTGCGCATCAAGGGATTCAAAGGCACACAGAGCAGTCACTAGACCGCCCTACTTCCGAGTCCCTGAACTACGACACTATCATATCTGCGAATGTAACACACCAAAGTCATGACATATATAGTTAAAGTCATGACATATATAGTTAAAGTTATAACATATATAGTTAAAGTCATGACATATATAGTTAAAGTCATGACCTGTAGTTAAAGTTATGACATACATAGTTAAAGTCATGACATATATATTTAAAGTCATGACATACATAGTTAAAGTCATGACATGCACAATTAAAGTCATGACATATATAGTTAAAGTTATGACATATATAGTTACAGTCATGACATATATAGTTAAAGTCATGACATATATAGATATATACACGTAGTTATCCCACATACCAGTTTGCTATTGAGCCGTCCTTTCGCAAAGGGATTGTTCAGTGCACACAGAAGAGCCCCGGCAACGGCAGTAGCCAATCTGCAATTCAGGGTTTTAGGGTTTTAGAGTTTGTTTCAGGGTTTTAGGGTTTAGCAGTTTTAGAGTTTTAGAGTTTAGGGATTGTTTCAGGGTTTTAGTGTTGAGGTTTTTATTCAGGAACGGCACAGACCAGAATTACAAACCTTTAGAAATAACGCTGAATCGTAGCGTTACAAACTCTCCATTACACAGATGACTAGCAATCCATACATGGCCCAACACATCTCCCGTGCAACACACGTCTATCATATACCCAAAAAACCCTAAAAGTAGTACCAGAATGTGTGCGTGTGCAAGAGGGCCGCATAGATGATAGTTATATAAATATACATAAATCCATACACACCTGTATGCAGCACAATTCGATCTATACAAATAACTACGAAATTGATTGCAATAAATATCCTTTGTCATGTCTCCATATATAGACACGAATATACTCCCACAGAACACAAATAACCACACAGTTAAATGATATCTCTATTTGTGTATCGACATCCTTTGTCATATCTCCATATACAGACTTGAATATAAAACACCACATACACACGTACTCCATACACAACAACGAATCCAATTAACTGTTATCTTATCCGTGGCTATATGCACGTGAAACGATACTTGGTACATACGCGCAGAAGGCACTGACACTGTACGAAGCCGATGCCGAGTACGCCGCACAAAACCAAAGGCATTTTGCTGTCGCGAGTGCTGCGGTGAGCTTGACCTTGCTCCCATCCGCACTATAGTTACAGGGGCGTGTTTGTATACGTGAGAGGTAGGGGAAAGCGATGGTTAGATAAGATACTGTAGATAGAGTGACAAGTGTGTTATGGGAGAGGAAATGAAAGACAAAGCACTCTCAACAGATCTTACCTATATATATACATATATATATATATATGTGTGAGTGTGTGTGTACATATATATACATTTAATATATAAGTATTAGTTTATATATATATTACATATATCAAAGGAACGTGTCTAGAGAGATATTGGATAGAATATACATACATACATACATACATACATACATCCATACGTATACATATACACACAAACACACACACACACGCACACACAAACACACACACATATATATATATATATATATATATATAAGCCCCAACAACTTACACACATACAACACGCA